ATACGGACTCGAGCGGATTGAACGAGTCAGGTTGAAAAAAACCGAGACGATTTCTTGCATTCTCCAGTCATTTGTAACGTCTCGTGTACGACAAGATGAGCTAATAAAACAGCTTGTCAAATAAAACAAAAATTTCCTGCGTATGATCGGTATCTCCGAGGATAAATTAACCAATAACTGCATTTAAACAGTCTCCATATCGCTTCTTGTCAGCAATGATTCTATGCAAAACAGTTGCTATTGAAAACACTCATTTAACTGATTCCCAAGTGTGATTTTCTGTCTGTTTGCTTTTTTATTTGAGAACCAAATTTCGAACAAATTAATGATTTGAGATCTCCGCTGATTAACAAAGAAAATAACTTAGGACGTTTTTAAGCTATGGTGCAGAATTAGCACATTCCCTGAGCCTTGTTAGTCTCGATAGCTCTTCACTTTTGTCTGCACATATGGGTTAAAAACAATGATTTTGAGCTAACTGTTATTGACTTTAAACTGGGTTCTATTCCATGGAATCGGAAACTAAACTCCAAGAGGTACCGGAGAACTGTTTCAAATTGATCGAGTCTCTTCAGCAATGTGACTCCATCGACTCAACCTTATGATGCCACCCGGGACCTCACTGGAAGAGAATATGCAAACTACCCATTCGATCACCTGGCAACTAATCAAACCGTTTCACTTTTAGTCCGTACATCATACAAAACCACACATCCGTACTAGCTTGGTTCGGACATCACACCTCGCTCGTTTCGGTGTTGACCCCTAGGGGTATTACTAACTGTTTCGTGAGGGTAGTGAAGAATTTGACTTGATTGTGAAATAGATGTTTTCGTATTTAGAGTAGACGGAGCATGATATGAAAAGGTAGAATGCGGTGGCTGTCTTGACCAAGCGGTGAGGTCACAAACTTTTCACCTGGGAGTCCCGGATTCGAACCGCTCCATCACCGTCCGTCGTCCCAGGCAGCCTTGTATGACCGTAGCCTCTTTCCTGAATGTTGACCGTATATCTGTATATTCAATAAATAAATAAAAAAGAAGCAAAAAGAAATAATTTATTTACATAAAGAAAAGTGAACTGAGTAGAAGAAGTCGTCGAAGTTACTGATCCTTTTCAGTATCTTCTTCCAGGTTTGGTCAGTGTAATTTTAACCAATACTAACTTTTCTCTTTGTCAGCGCAATGGATGAGTGAAGCATTTTCTTCAAGATCCAAATATCTTGGAATTATCTCTATATCCACTAGAAAAATCATCAGAGGACACCTTGACTTCTAATGACTCACTTTGATTAGTTCCCTACTTCGCTGGTTTACATAACGCACATGTTACTGAATCACGTGATCAACTTGGGCCATGAAAGTGAATCTATATTGTTGAATAAAAATGCTGTTTGTAAAAGATCAGTAAACTGATAGCATCCAACGCCTCGACAAACAACGTTGTGTCAACAGAGATTGAGTGAATCACGATTGATCTGGCGCTTGAGACGAGGATTGAAAAAATGTATGTGGATCAATATGTGGCGTTAGAATAACGTCGGCGAAAGCTCCACTGTGGTTTCCGGTGGTGTTTCTCAAACTCTGCAAAATAAATCATTCTGTTAGCGGGATTAGAACGAGCTTGAGATCACTATTGATAATATTTAAGTGTATATTCAACCGAGGCAGGGGGCTGTTGCTCGTGAACCATGTTTGGGTAATATTCAAGGAACCAGGGCACTCTGAGTTCCAGTATAGACAGGCGATTAACGCTTTCATTGGTTTCGCAAAAAACCATTCATCAACCTGGTTTGATTGATCAAAACTAATAACGTGAAAGAGAAACGACTAACCACATTCGTTATAGCCGTGTTGACTGAACTCAAATTTATTCATCCGCCATCTTTCTATTGTGCTTGGTAACAAAAATCATTGTTTTGCATAGGGGAACCAAGAAATACCTAGAAAATGATGTTATCGCATCTGCTGGTGTTAATGTTGTTCCAGTAAATATTCATTAGTTGGATTAGATCTAAGAGAATTTTGAGTAAATCAGATGTTGATGAATAGAATGTTTTGACTAAACATGGTTCAACTACTTTAAGTGCGAATGTACCAGTTGAGACCAAGGAACGTGAAATTGAAAAAATAAACAAGCTACTTTCTCGATTGATATATTATGCATAAAGGTGTTCACTATAGAGTTTCCCGTAAAACCAAAACATGGAGGAACCGATTCGTAATGATAGAAGGGAGTAAGCATTTGACCTACCTTCCGATGCAGTATCAAACCAACAAATTGTAAGCATTGGGCTTTTAATTACTGATCCACAGGTCCTTTGTATATCCTCTATTGATTGATTTATTTAATCCTCGTTACCTATCGATTTCTTCGAATAATAACCTTCATAAGCTAATATTCCGAATCTTTTCACATGCGCCTAAGTACATTTTAACAAACCGTTTTTTATTGTATAGTATTCTGTTAAAATATCAGCCCACAATAAATTGAATAAAGAATCTAAATCTGATGCAGCTGATGGCCTGAATCAATTATGTGAACATTGCCAGATATCGATTTTCATTTTACTCTACTCAAGTGATTTAGTGTTTCACTGTATTTATGATAAATTCCTGCAGAAGCAGCTCCATCTTATCCACCAGACAAACCGCATTTAACAATGTGGATGAATCAAATGGTGCGTTTTTGGGAAACCGCTCGCTGGTGATATCGAACTTTTACTTCACCACAATCGTTTTGCTTTGTAACGTACCAAGCAGAAAATTACTGAACGAAATGCAAGCACGCCATTAAGCATACACGCACACATTTTTGATACCTCTTGGCCTCACCGCAGTAACAAGGTGGTACCCAAATACGACATTTCCCTGTCAACCCGACTCACTTGATTTCTCCCGGCTCGAAACTTTGTAGAATTTGCCATGCGCCAAATCCAATAAACTCAGAGAATCGGGAATTCGGTTTTGATAAGTTAGCGACACAGTTAGTGTGGAACTACACGCCTAGCATTTTCTACAATTCATTCTGTGAAAAACGTCCATGTCAGTATGGACGTGGTCAATTAGCCAACGGATAGTCTTAAGCACACAAAACACACCTACGAGCTCTGTTTCTTCACCTTGCCAGTTTATTGAACCAATTTGATATAATCACGGTCCACTCGAAAGTTGGCAGAACAACCCAGTTGGTTGGGAAAGGAAAGGAAAGGTGATCTTTGAGTATAATGATAAACGTCAGGAATATTTCAGAACATGAAGCGTTTTTATCATCCTATGTGCGCCCCGACAAAACTCACAGGAATGCAGGGTGGTCTTTAAACTGCACAAAGAATAAAAACCACGTCTGTGATGCACACTAGGTGCAGTACGGTCAAGTGATTGACAAAGACATGGGCATGCGAATATCTGAATCATGTAAATACAAGTTCTGGCCAGTAGCTTATTTTTTTCTCCACCGTGATCATATCAGCATCACACAGAGGTAGAGGGCGCATGTTGTATACAAA